GGCGCACAATGATGCAATCGATGGACGGCGGGAAGCTGACGACTGGTCGATGACAGAGGTAGTGGGCCGACAGTTTTAGAACGATCGGCAGCAACAAATGCAATAACCGAGCACTTCCGACATAACGAAAGGGGTCGCCAACATGCACGTTGGAGGGGATAACACGTACGTGGATTGCAATGCTAGAGGATGTGGAGAATATTGTGTGGACGAGGCCGATCTTTACGGTGGAGAAGACAACGAGGAGGAATTGGACATTCCACCAGTGGGAAGGAAGAGAGGCGGATGTTGGGCAAGAGAAAAGGACGACGAACCGCGAGCAGGGCAGCAAGGCAAGAAACCAAAAGAAGGTTGTACAGGATGGTGTCGTGGGCGATGGCGCCAATCGCAGGGATTTATGGACGGTGGAGCTGGGTTGATTTGTTCGATCATCGCATGACCGCCATGATGATGACTTCCACTACAACCGCCGCCAGCCACGTGCCCACGCGCGAGCAACGAAGGCGCTCAGAGAAATGAATGACATTAAACAACCGTGAAATGCGTTGTGGAACACAAAACAATTCAAACAGAACGTTCGACGTCTCCAAGCAGGACGACGAACCACATGTGTTTCATGCGCTCCGCTAAGGCATTGCGCAACTCGCACGCTCTGTTCGTCGATGTCGTCATTGCAACTAGCTGTGGTGGGTGATGAATGTCGAGGTCCACTCGGCGCCACATTCTGTTCTTGTCGATTTCCCACAGCTCGTCGAAGTCGATACCTGCGTCGAGAAGGATGTTGTGCAGAATGCAGATTGCCGTGAACTGTTGCGGCAGGGTGTACATGTTCGTCTTGTGTGTGCACAAGAACAATCTCACATCCCCTTCAACCTCCCGAACGCCCTCTCCAAAGCCCCTCTGCGACCTTTTGTTTCATGTCGAACAACTCTTGGTTAGGGTGCTGATTGATCCCTCCATACGACACCACTACCCATTCCGACAGGGGATACCTATTGTCGCTGAGGATGTATCCATTCGTCCTTACCCCGCCCGACAGCGTAACGGGCGGCCTGCGAAACAACTTGAACAACGATTACCTCTCTTATGCGCACCTCCACATACTTGACAACTAGATGACCCTGATGTCGTGGCAGCTCCCTGGATATCCGACGAACACATCGAGCACACACAAATCGATGCTTGCGATTGAAGTAATTCTCGCTGGGAGCTTTCGCAGGTTTGTCGACGTAGATGTGTGTCCAGTCCACTCTGTGGCAGTTGGGGAAACCCTTGTCAGCGAACGCTCGGAGCACAACATGTTTCCGCACCCCCGCTGGCCACGATATCTTGTCCGCGTACACCCTCAACAAAGTGGCTGTAACATCACGAATGACGACGAGTCCAGAAGCTCTACCGATGCCGAATGGCAATGTGCTGCTGTCATATGTTTCGCCTGACGAGTAGGCGACGATCTGCTCGGGCTGAAGTGGCTCCCTATAGAACGTTGCTTGTTGTTGCAGATAAGGTGCACGCTCTTCAACAATCTCCATGAAAACTCTGCGTAGCATGCGAAGCTTCTCCCGGAAGTACTCGTCCGTGGCATCATCGCACACCCGCAAATCTTCCCAAGTCCCACCCTTTCTTCATTTCATCCACCACCATGGCGTCGCCCGAGGGAGCACACCGCACCCGATTGGTGGGCATAGTTGAACGACGGCCTAGGAAGTGCTTACACAGTCTGGAGCGTCGACCACCCTCTGCACCAATAGCATCTGCCTCCGCCTCGAAATCGCCGCCTTCATGCGCCTGCCGCTCTCTCCACCTGTCTGCGGATGACGACGGCCAGCGCAGCCGCGGCGACAACTGTCTTCTCAGTGGGCGTCAACTGTGCTTTGTCATGGGGAGGAAAGCCCTCCATCGCGCTCCCCCAACACCAACACGCAGGTCCACCACCAACCCGCCGGCCACACCTTCGCCTCCGCAACCGACGTCGACCAGGGAACATTAAAGCGTCATAGGGTCTTTCTGTCCAGGCGCAGGTAGTCCGCATCTTCACAGACATGTCTATTTCACCGAGTCTCTCTCCGAGACAGCGCCCAGATCGTTACGCCTTTCGTGCGGGTCGGAACTTACCCGACAAGGAATTTCGCTACCTTAGGACCGTTATAGTTACTTCCGCCCCACTGCGCGTTTCGACGGCCTGTGATGCACGATGAACTTTGACGTCACCAGCGCTGCCGTTGGAACTTGCCACACGACATCATGTCTCATCCCCTCTTGACATCATGTCGGTCTTCGTGTGCGAAAGCCTCCACGGGCAGCTGCAGTCGGGGCGTCGTCACTCAAGTACGCGTGCACATGGTCAATCCGTAGGGGCATCGCCAAGACTGCGCTCAGCGCACTGCCCCTTCGATGACCCGCCCGTCTGCTGCCTCGCCATCTTCCATCTGCCAGCATTTTGAAATTCAAATTTCGAACAGGGCCGTTCCCACATTTTTCTTCTTCTTCGGAGGCCCATTGTCTCTTTGCTGTATCGGCCTTCTGGACCAGCACACCTCCTCAGCGGACATTTGAAGTCTGAAGACGGACAAACCACGCCAAGGACCAGACCCATGGTGATTGCTGGTAGCGGCAGCCAATGGTTGTCCTTACAGGATAGGCCACCTACCCTACCCATCCCTACGTTTTTTTTTTTTTTTTTTTTTTTTTTTTTAACTATACCCTTCTCTCAATTTTTCCTCACACTGCCTACCTACCACTACTCCTACCTATAGGCATACGGGGAAACCCGTAGCATACCAGAGCCGTCTTTTTTACGGCCCCTCGAGCCTGCAGGATACCGGCCAGGGGACGTACTCCCAGGACTTTCAAAAACAAAAACAAAAAAAAAGAAAAAAACAAACCACGCGCTGCCGCGCATATCTTATGAAACGGGCCGTGGGAGGGCCCTGGAGGGCCCCGAGGACACTCCCTGAGGACAGGTGGAAAGACGCATCTGAAAATCGCAAATTTCCCCGAGGACTTGCCCTCGGAGCCCGAGGACGGCCTGGGGCGTGTGTAACGAGGCCGCATGTCACCATCACCATAGCTCTTAGCTCCCAAAAGCATGAAAAAGCCACCACCAAAAAAAAATAAAAAAATAAAATAAAATGAAAAAGCCACCAGCCGCGACGTGCCAAGTCAACAGCGTATGAAGATAGCAACGTGTCAAGCCCGCACTCGCACAATCCGTAGCTGAGAGCGCGCGATAACAACAACAAAAAACGACATGTATAGTTCCATATATATAGACCTGGTGCCTCCACCCTCCCGATCAGCCGCCATCTGTCTGGTTCTCGTGTAGAAAACGGCGAGACCCTGGGCCTCGCTGCACTACTCTCGAAATGTGCAAAACGAGAGTGAATCTTCCTGTAGAATATGGAAAGCTGCACCGCCATTATTTTTGTCTTTCGTGCATGTCGAGAGTAGTGCAGCGAGGCCTCCTGTCCGCCAAGTCGCGCCCACCGAAGCCCATGCACCCTCCACGACCAGCCAGAGATACCGACCGAAACCGAAATCCGCCGGGGTCGGCCACAGCCGGGACCAGTCAACGACCCGCGACCCTCGCCTCCACCCGGCGCCCCCGGGCCGCCATGCGCCCCGCGAAGATCCTGGTACTCCCCCAAAAATAATAATAAATAATAATAAAAAATCCTTGGTACTCCCCAAACCCCAGGCTCTGGCCCTGCGTCACAACCGCTCCGCTATGCGATTCCCCGCCGCCCGACCGCTCGTCATTGGACTGACAGGCCCCAGGTTATTCAAAAATGATTTTTTCAGCAGTTTGTGGGTGGTCGGATTGTATATGGATTCGAACTTGGGTCTGGGTGTACCAACTGAGCCACCGGCAGGCCCGTTGGTATGCATTGTGTTATCTATTTTTTTTTTATAATTACTTAATGAATTAATGAATTTTGTAATTTTTAAAAAAATTATTTATTTAAACTACGCTATATTCTTCTCTCAAATCTGTCATCATCTTTCAAATTCTTTCAATTCACCTTCACTACCTACCTATCACTACTCCTATGGCATATACAGGGGACTCCTGCAAGCGAAGCTGTGTTGTCGCAGTCCAGCCATCCGAGCAGATGCATGAGCTATACTGATATTCTTATTCACGGTTGAAAAAAAGAGTCTTAAGCCTTGGGCACTGGGCCTTAAAAAAAAAAAAAAAAAAAAAAAAAAAAAAAAAAACAGCCCCCCCAAAACGGGAAAAGGACCGCACTAGAGAAAAAGTAAAAAAGAGAACGGGAAAAAGTCTTTCAAAAAGGGGAAAAAAGTTAGTATCTGGATTTCGATCTTGGCTATGATACGCTTCCTGTCGCTTTTTTCTTCTCTTGCATTTCATTGAATTTTGCTTTGACGCAGCCAGCTAGCGTAAGTGTGTGTGTTTTGACACTGTAGTCTTCTCGTTTGCGGATTCTAGTCAAGAACAGATCTCTCTCTCTCTCTCTCTCACACACACACACACACACACACACACACACACACACACACACACACACTCTTTTCTCTCTCTCTCTCTCTCTCTCTCTTTGTGTGTCTGTCTGTCTGTCGTCTATCTATCTCCATCTCTCTCTCTCTCTGCTGTCCCCGTGCCCCCCATCCTCCCCTCTTTTTGATTTGTTGTCTGTGTCCGGCATCTCTCTCATTTCGGAATTTCACTGAGGCATCTCTCTCTCTCTCTCTCTCTCTCTCTCTCTCTCTCTCTCTCTCTCTCTCTCTCTCTCTCTCTCTCTCTCTCTCTCTNCTCTCTCTCTCTCTCTCTCTCTCTCTCTCTCTCTCTCTCTCTCTCTCTCTCTCTCTCTCTCTCTCTCTCTCTCTCTGTGCCTGTGTCCCGCTCTCTCTGTCTGTCTGTCTGTCTGTTTCTCTCTACGGCTCTCGCTCATGGTGTATCCTGATTGTGTGGGTTGATTTGTTCCTCCATAGGCTTGGCTTCTCCGGCGGAGTGGTTGTCCTGATAAACAAAAGGACTTCGTCTGACGGAAGATTCAGGAAAACGAAGCTACGGACGAACACACACACACACACACACACACACACAGAGAGAGAGAGAGAGAGAGAGAGAGAGAGAGAGAGAGAGAGAGAGAGAGAGAGAGAGAGAGAGAGAATGAGCGTGGCTATGGCGTCGGCGGAGTCGAACGCACGACTTCGACCGCGTGCGCACAAATCGCGCCACGTGTTCGATCAGCAGAGGAGGAGGGAGTTAGCCTTGGAGAGGCAGAAGACTGCTCGGCGCGATTTGCAAGCGCTCGTCCGACGGCTTGCTTCGTTGGAGCCTTCTCTCCACGGCGAAGAGCGCCACGTGGATGAACGCCACGTGCAGGAATGCCACGTGGACAGCGTGGCAGTGACAAATCACGTGGGTAATGAAGTTGGTCAGATTGAAGTGGGTTTGTCTGTCCAGGTGGAGGAGAAGGCGATCCCGATGGAGGAAGTCATGCCCGAGGGTCGTGAGAGTGATAGAAGGGAGGACGGAGGAGGAGGAGGAGGAGGAGGAGGAGGAGGAGAAGGAGAGGGAGGAGAGGAAGGAGAGGAAGGAGAGGAAGGAGAGGAAGGACAATTGCGATGGGGACGAGGAAGTAAGGGACCGGGGGGGATGAGCATGGATGGCCCGCCGATGGCAATCAGCGGAGTCGGAGTCGGCGGCGCGATCATGAAGTCGCGCGAATGGGCTTCCCGCCAATTTATGCAGCCAGAGTGGATGGTGGATGTGCCTTCAAGACTGCGATCGGATTGGTAAGGGTGTTCTTTTTTTTTTTCCCCTCCTGATTTTTTTTCTCCCCCGATTTTTTGTTTTTTTGGTGAGCTTAGTTCGAATAGGGTTTTGAAATGGAGTGGTGATGTTCTCAAGGGATTGATGCAGTTGGTAATTCGTAACAGGGAAGAATTTTACATCCCGCCAGAATTTCCCGCCAAAAGTGCCCGCAAAAATTTCCCGCCAAAAGTGCCCGCAAAAATTTCCCGCAAAAATTTCCCGCCGAATTTGAAGAGCCTTTTTTCTTTCCGATTTTTTCTTTCCCGATTTCTTCTTTGCGATTTGTTTTTTCGATTTTTTTTTTACGTCATTTCCCCCCCCGAATTTTCCGGTTTTTTTTTTTGTTGGTATTTTCTTTCTTTCCTATCGTCTTTTAGGTTTGCGGAAATTTTATTCTTTCAAGGGGTCAGGGACGCCGGGCTCGGTTCCCGGCTTAGGATTAAAAAAAAGAAGAAAAGAAGGAAAAAAAAAAAAAAGTAGTAGCAGACGGACTGCCCCCTAGCTCAGTTCGTACACCCATGAGCTGTTGAAAACACAGACCCGAGTTCGAATTCCAATGGAATCATATGAATAAAAAGTACGTCCTAATTTACCTCTGGGCTGGTCAATTCAAAGATTCTCTCTCTCTCTCTCTCCCTCTCTCTCTCTCTCTCTCTCTCTCTCTCTCTCTCTCTTTTAAAAAAAAAAAAGGCCATGAGATTAAAAAAAGCCATTAAAAAAAAGGCAGGAAAAAAATTCAAGTCCTCATGTACCTGGGGCTGGTCAGGTCAAAGATGATCTCTCTCTCTCTATCTCTCTCTTAAAAAAAAAAACCAAAAAAAAAAGCCATTAAAAAAGAAATGAAGTCATTAAAAAAAGACATGAAAAAAAAAAAAAATGGTATCTTGCCAACTGGCCTAGGATAGTCCGTATACCCGCGAACTGTCGAAATCGAACACAGATCCGAGTTCGAATCCAGGGTTGTGGTCCCATTAGCAGTCGGATAGGAGTTTGGCCGATCCAGTGTGACACGGAGTGGCAGCGGGATGACAGGTTCATTACGAATTTCTGGGGTGAGAAAACAGGAGGAAGGCAAAAAAAAAAAGAAGAAACAGAGACCTCCCACCTGAAATCACGGCAGAGTGCTTCCCAGCCATCAGATCACAAATGATCTGATCTGATGGTGGTGGTTGCAACAACAGTGCAGAAAGTAACTGCCACATTTTCTGGAATAAACTCGACTTCTGTCAGCAGTGATCCTGACACCCTCCATATACTCCGTGATTGAAGGAGGGCCCCACCCAATGAGATAATCGCACAACAGCAAGCAAAATACTGAAAATCTTCTATCCAGTGGGCCTATGGCCGACCCGTTTTTTTTTGGGGTTGGCCATGCCCCCAACGGATTGAAAAGATTTTGGCGGGAAGCTTCCTTTGCAGGCATATACATGAACCAAAAAAATGTTAATTAAAAAAAAAAAAGAATCCCGGCCAACCAATCGTCTAGAGTATCCCAAGCAGGCATATACATGAACACGAGAGTTTTTTTTTTTTTTTTTTTTACGGCCGAAAAAAAAACTCCTCGTACAGTGAGATAGACAGATTCGAGAGAGAAGAAGAATAGAATTGAGCATTTTGTTATTAAAATAGAAAGAAAAAAGATAGAGCATATAAGGTATAAGGTATTGTAATCAACAATAACTGTTGGTCTCCGCTAAAATTGGAACGATACAGGGTCTGTCTCTTATACACATCTAGATGTGTATAAGAGACATCAATGGATCAATCAATCAAGCAATCAATCAGTGAAGAGGATTGACGAAGATCATATAGATGAAGAAGATGGGCGATGGGTGATGATGATCAATCAATCAATCAATGGATCAATGGATCAATGGATCAATGGATCAATCAATCAAGCAATCAATCAGTGAAGAGGATTGACGAAGATCATATAGATGAAGAAGATGGGCGATGGGTGATGATGATCAATCAATCAATCAATCAATCAAGCAAGCAAGCAAGCAAGCAAGCAAGCAAGCAATCAAGCAATCAATCAGTCAAGAGGCTGGACGAATAGATGAAGATGATGGGCGATGGGTGATGATGATTATGACGGTGCTGATGCTGTCTCTTATACACATCTAGATGTGTATAAGAGACAGGAGGAAGATCATATAGATGAAGAAGATGGGCGATGGGTGATGATGATCAATCAATCAATCAATCAATCAAGCAAGCAAGCAAGCAAGCAATCAAGCAAGCAATCAAGCAGTCAATCAGTCAAGAGGATGGACGAAGATCATGATACATGAAGATGATGGGCGATGGGTGATGATGATCAATCAATCAATCAATCAATCAAGCAAGCAAGCAAGCAAGCAAGCAAGCAAGCAATCAAGCAATCAATCAGTCAAGAGGCTGGACGAATAGATGAAGATGATGGGCGATGGGTGATGATGATTATGACGGTGCTGATGATGAAGATGATGGTCGATGAGTGGTGATGATTATGACGATGCTGATGATGATGACTATGATGGGCGAAGGTGATGATGAATAAGGATGATAGGATATCCTGTGATGATAGAAGCAAGTAGAATTAATTTTAGTTGATCTACGGCTTCACCCGAATACAACGCCCGGTCATTATAGCTGTATTTGGGGCAACTTTCCGTCTAGGTACGGCGTTAATGACAGGGGGTGTTTTATTCGGGTGAAGACGGTAGTTATAGGGGAAACAGAACCACACCAGCGTTGGACTAATTGATGAAAATACTCAAGTATTAAAGTATGTGTAATTAAGAATAGTTCTTTTATTATGTAATAATAAAAATAGTGAAATATAACTGCATGGTGCATGTTTGTGTATAATTTTTTTTTTTGACACAGATCTGTAAGACAGATTAGGTGGCATAGAAGGATATCCGGGGTTCAGAAATCAACCGGGGGAAGCAAATGATATCAGGGTCGCAGAAATCAACCCCCGAAATCGACGACCCTTATTATTATTATTATTATTATTTTTCCAAAACTGGCTAATTTTCAAGATTCACGGTTGTGTGATTGATCGCTCCGTTGCTCGGATGGTGAGGCTTGCAAGTGCACCTGAGGATTTGATTGGTTGATTGATTGGTTGATTGGTTGATTGATTGGTTGATTTGGTTGATTGATTGGTTAATAAAATTGATCGCTTGCTCACTTGATTGATTGATTGCTGCGTTGATTTGTGGATCCATTTTCAGAGGTCGAATGATTCAGTGACTGAAGCTTGATCCATTGTGATTGATCGTAATCGATCGATCGTTCGACGATTGATTGGTTTATTGATTGTAATGGATCGATCGTTCGACGACTGATTGATTGATTGTAATCGATCGATCGTTCGTTCGACGACTGATTGATTGATTGATTGTAATCGATCGATCGTTCGACGATTGATCGATTATGTGATTGATTGTAATGGATCGATCGTTCGACGATTGATTGCTCGATTGATCGGTTTGTTAAATGAGCGGTTGATTGATTGCTTGATTAATCGGTTTGTTAAATGAGCGGTTGATTGATTGCTCGATTGATCGATTTGACCGTTGACTGATTGTCTTATCAGTCGAGTGGTTCGACACAGCGATCAATCGATGTTCAGAGGCGCATTGGTCGTCGTCCAATTGGTTGGTTTGTCAATTGATGATTTGAACGATTGGTTTGTTGATTGATTGATTGATCTTCGATTGGATCGACTCCAATTGGTTGATTTCTTGATTGATTGATCTCCAGGGATTGATCCGTCGATTTTTGTGAATCAATGTGGATTTCGTCCATTGAGCGGGCCTGGTCGGCTAACTGGTTTGATTGATTGATTGATTGATTGGCCGATTGAGAGATTGAATGACTGGCGGAGTAATTGGTCGATTGATTGTAACGATTGATTAACTGGGTGATTGAGCAAGGGTTCGGTTCCTATAGTTCATATAGTTAGATTCATTGATTCAGAGATCGGTTATATTAGGCGTCATCGATCGAATGACTTTCATCGCGATCGATCGATTGATTGATTGATCGATCGATTGATTGATTGATCGATCGATTGATTGATTGATTCATCGATCGATCGATTGATTGATTGATTGATTGATGAATCCATTGGTCGATTGATTGGTGATTGATCGATCGATGGATTGGTGATTGATGAATCTATCGGTTGATTGGCTGCCGGTGGTTCTGTACGTCGATCGATCGTGTGAGTGGTTGATTGATTGAAACGATGGTTCAATCCAAGCAGCAAATTATTAGTTGCTTGGTAAAGGGATCGGCTTTGGTCAATCAATGTCTTTCTGACTACTGTAGCCATGTGTACTGATCGACATTGTTTTGTTAGTAATCGGGTTGCCTATTGATTGTGTGGATGGATCATAGTCATCAATTGGTCGGGTAATCAACCAGTTTCTCTACCAATCGATTTGATTACTGTGTCGATCGATTTTGATTGATTAATCAATTATTTTTCTACAAGTCGATTTTTATAACAGTGTCGATTGATTAACTGATTGAAGGATGGATGGGTTGACAGATTGGTTGTGTTTGATAGCGACAAATTGATGGGTGGTGAGGGGATTCGATCCCTGGATTGCCTGTTTGTTTGCTCGATCCATCCATCAATCCATCCATCAAGTAATCAATAACTCCCTACTACCTTCCTCCCCCTGTCCCTCCTGCTTTCTGCCCCATTCCCCCTCCCCTTCTCCTCCCCCCCCCCCCCCCCCCCCCCTTTCTCCCCCTTTGCCGCCTGCTTTCCACTCGCTTTCTACCTCCTTCCACCCATTTCCCTTCTCTTTCTTCCCATTC